GAGACTGGTTATGCTTGATGCGGAGATGTTTAGTTCCAGTTTAAAAACTGTTGATCAATGAGTGAACTGTGGTTCATTGTTTGACTAGACAGAAGGATTGAGGGTATTTGATCCATTTTTAAAGTGAATCAATGATTCGGCTTTGCCTGGATGACGTAGTCAAAGTTCTTTGGAATTCTAGGCGGTATTTTGTAAGTTACTTTGAACAAGTTACAGGGAGGACCAGATATCGGAAAATGATGAAGTGTTTAACAGTAGAATTTTTAATATTTCACTCTCCGCTGAGTAAACAAGCTGAACAATGTTCTAAAATACGCTTACCGATTCGACGTTGTGTATACTATCAATGTACTTTACTCCAATCTTGAGAAGTCCTAAAACTGACTTAAAAGCGAATGCATTCTAAAAGTATCAGTTGAAACCTTTCCTTAAAAACTTTGTTGTTGAACTCTCCCAGTTAGGTGATCATCATATTCAAGTGGCCTACACAAATGTTGTCTTTTTTCATCTAGGACAAATGGTCGGCTAAACAAGAACATGATCGATTGGCTAAAACTCAAATCAGTTTAGAGGAGGAAAGGCGGTGTTTGATTGAACAATCAGGAAGAGCACGTGCTGAAATGCAACAATTAGTGGTGAGTTTATTTTTATTAGTTTTTTTTAATGCTTTTTAATTTCTAAGTTGGTGTAGTTCTCTGCTTTATCACTGATGAACTAAATGTTTATTGTTTTTGTGCAGTATGCTTTTTATGAAGTCAGGCTTTTCTCAGCTTGTAGCTTGAGACTTCACTATCAGATCGATAAATGTGCATCATCAATTCAATTTATTGTGCCGAGAATCCTGTTCAGTCCATTATTAAAACCAATCATCGAAAATCAATCAAAATGTACTGTGATAAGTAGTAATTTCAAAGCCTAATGACCACATTACAAAAATGATCAACAGGATTCGGTCAGCACTTTGGGTTACAGAACATAAAATTGGTTAATCTTCAGTTAATAATCAAATTCACATCCTATTTACTTTAAGAAACACTTAATCTTGATACAGTTGACCTTATGGGATGTTGAGCACTGAATTATAGAACAATTTCAGTCAGTGGACACTTAGTAAACAATTAATCAACTAAATGCAATATGCTATTCAGTTTTGCTTAGGTTTTGAAAGCGACTTCAGTATTCATGTCACTTTCGATTTTTTGATGAGACGATTTACATTTTAAGCATTAGTGATGTATTATTTAAACCGTCTGAGATAACCGTGGTTTGGCAGATGAATGTTGATACCCGGTCATGGTTGAAGGTTAAATGAAGATTTGAACAGCGATGGGATTCGAACTAGCAACCACCGGGTTTCCGGCCGATTTTTATTATTATTATTAGTCCCTTGGGTTCCTAGTGGAACATAGGGCTTCAGTAGCACGCCTCCAGTGACCTCTGTTCTCTGAGATCCTTTGAACCTGGTCCCACGACAGCCCAGAAGCTCTCATTTCCTGCTCGCACGACCTCCTCCATGTCACCCTCGGACGTCCAACTCGTCGCTTCCCATGGGGATTCCACTCGAGGGCCTGACGCGTGATGTCCTCAGTCGGCCTTCTCAGTGCATGGCCAATCCATCTCCACTTCTTCCTGCATATTTGTTGCGTGATAGGTTCTTGGTTGGTTCGTTCCCAGAGTTCCTTATTGCTTATTTTTTCTGGCCATCTGATCTTCAGCAGCGAGCGTAAGCAGTTGTTGATGAATGTCTGTAGTTTATTGGAAATACCTTTCGTGAAGCGCCAAGTCTCTGAGCCATACAAGAGCACTGACTTGACGTTGGTGTTGAAAATCCGTATCTTGTTCCGCATGCTGAGTGCAGTGCAGAAGATCTCCACACTGGTTTCAGGCTAATGAACGCCTGTCTTGCTTTTCCGATTCTGACTTTGACGTCCTCGTCCGTCCCGCCTGTAGTTGAAACAGTGCTTCCTAGATAAGTGAAGGAGGTTACTTCCTTCAAGTTTCTCCCGTTGACGGTGATTGGAGTTTGTTGTTGTTGTTGTTGATGGTGGTGGTGCGGTATCTTCATCACTTCTGTCTTCTCTATATTCACCTGAAGTCCCGTCTTAGCTGCCTCTTCTATCAACTTGTTAGTTTTTGCCTGCAGATCTTCAAGTTTGTGTGACATTAGGCATAAGTCATCGGCGAAATCCAAGTCTTCTAGGTTCTTTTCCGTCGTCCAGTGTATCCCCCTCTTCTCGCTGCCTACTGTTTGCTGCATGATCCAGTCCACCACAATAAGGAATATCATGGGGGATAGTAGGCAACCTTGTTTCACTCCTGTCTTCACTTCAAAGGCATCACTGAGCTTCCCATTGTGGATTACTTGGCATGTGGCATCTTCATATAGTTGTTGAATGAGGCGGATAAAGGTTTGCGGTACTCCGTAGTATTGAAGCAGTTTCCAAATTACTTCTCGGTCGACGCTGTCAAAGGCCTTCTCAAAGTCGATGAAGTTGAGGTAGAGAGCTGATTGCCATTCTATGCTCTGTTCTATGATGATGCGTAGAAGCGTTGCAATTTGGTCTGCACATGATTTGTACTTCCTGAAGCCTGCCTGTTCCGGTCGCAGTTTTGAATCCAGTGCGTCTTTAAGCCTCTCCAGGATGATGCGGCTTAATATTTTACTTGCTTTGGGTGGACAGGAGAGTGATTCCGCGCCAGTTCTTGCAAGCACTGAGGTCTCCCTTCTTCGGCAGTTTGACAAGGTAACCCTTCTTCCAATCACTAGCCAGGTACCTTCTCTTCCTTCCACACCTTCTGCAATAGTGGTGTGGTGTGAGCATGTCTATTGTTGTCTCTGCATCTGTTCTCAGTGCTTCTGGCGGTATTCCATCTGGTCCTGCTGCTTTCCCACATTTCAGTAGCTTTATGGCGTTCAGGACTTCCATTTTCGTTGGGGGATTAATGTTCACTTGTAGTTCAGCGGCTGGGCTGCAGGTGGTATTTCTGGACGAAGTGCAGGTGGTGGTCGATTCAAGAGCTTCTTGAAGTGGTCGGCCCATCGTTTCCTCTGTTTCTCTTCTTTCGTAATTAAATTTCCTTCTTCATCTTTTATTGGTTTCATCTGTGTTGGTCTCTTCCCTGATAGCAACCTGGTTACTTGATACAATGTCGTCAGGTCTCTCTTACCTGCAGCCTGTTCTGCTTCACTTGCCAGTGTTTCGTAGAAGTGTCTTTTGTCTTTGCGTGCACTCTTCTTCACTTCTTTGTCCAGTGTTTTATACATTGTGCTCAGTTCCTCTTGTCGTTGAGCATCCTTGCACTGGTTTATCTTCTGCTTCACCATCCTCCTCTCCTCTATCAGCTTCCAGGTATCCGTCGAGATCCATTCCTTGTCTTCTTTCTTCTTCCTTCCTAATACTGTTGTGCAGGTTTCTTTCCACATAGCTTTCAAAGACTTCCAGTGTTCTTCCACACAGGTTTCTTCAGGGATGTTGCTCGATGTCTCCCATTTTGTCTTGATGGCTGCCTTGAAGATCTCCTTTGTAGTTTCATCCTTCAGTTTCCGAGTGTTGTACTTGAACTGAGGTCTATCACCAGCTTCCTTGAAGGCTTTCAACTTGATTTGGAAGGTTCCTTGCACTAGGTAGTGGTCTGAACCTACATCTGCTCCTCTTCTTGACCTTGTCAAGTAGGACTGCGTCTCCATTTTCTTGAGATTGAGATAAAGTCGATTTGATTTTTAGTGTGTCCATCTGGTGAAATCCATGTCGCTTTGTGGATATCCTTGTGCTTGAACACACTGCCTCCAATCACCAAATCGTTGAATGCGCAGAATTCTGCAAACAATTCTCCATTCTCATTCATTTCACCTAGCGCCTCTCGACCCATGGTTAGTTCTCTTCCCGTGTTGTCCCCTCCCAGTTTGGCATTCATGTCGCCCATTAGAATTTTGATATCGCCAACTGACATCTTGTCCAGTGTTGATTGAAGTTGTCTGTAGAATTCCTCCTTTTTCTCTTGCTCTGCATTATTTGTAGGTGCATAACATTGTATGATTGTGACCTTTCTTCCTTTTGAGTTGAATCTTGCTGTCATGATCCTGGAGGAGATTGGTTTCCACTGCATGAGAGCCTTCGATGCTCTTGAGGACATCATGATAGCCACTCCCTCAGTGTGCTCGTGGTTGTCGTCTGGGTGACTAACGGAGTAGATTATTGATTCTCCAGTTGACAGTTTGGAGAGTCCACTCCCATTCCATCTGCTTTCGCAAATCCCAAGCACTTCAGTGTGATACCTCCTCATCTCGTTTGCAATCTGGGCTGCCTTACTGGGTTCAAACATGGTGCGGACATTCCATGTCCCCACGTTTACTTTCGCTTTCATCGAGAGAAGAGAAGACACATCGGCCAATTGGCTTCCCGAAGACTTTCACCAACTGGGGTCATTTCGCCTCTCCGATTCCAGCGGGGAATAATTTGGTTTTCATTTTTTATATTTTGTTTGTGCTTTGAAGTTTCTTTAGCGGTTAGATTTGTTTTACGGGGTAGGGTTGCTAGCCCTATGCCCAACCTTCCCTCTTTACCCGGGCTTAGGACCGGCTAGTAACTAGTAAACTAGTTAACCAGGCGAGGTTTTCCGGCCGATTGCTTTACCAGTATAAATACTAATCTTCTCTGATATTCTGAATGATATGATGCTCCCCCTCTCTCATTAAGCTAGATTTGGGTTTGATTGAGAAGTCCTGTCTACGTAGCCAGTGTAAGTGCTATCAAGTGATAGTAACGCGTCACGAATTCACATAGTAGTCGAAACAAACCCTTGGTGATTGAAGTAAGATAAAAAATCTGGTCAGTAGTCGGACCTCATTGGTCAGTTGGTAGAGCATCGGGCTGGAAACTCAATGGTCGGCAGTTCGAATCAAGCCGCAGTACAAATTTTCGTTTTACCTTCAATCATTCTTTGCTTCTCACCATTTTTTGTTTTTGCAAAACCGCTTTTCACTATTAAAGTCACTATAGATGTATGCTAAAAGGTACATATGTGAATTTCTGTTATCCACGCTTAGTAATAAAAATTTTTCTAATCCTTCAATTGGATTACTCGTTTTTAACTAATGGTCTCTTATTTTGTGTCCTAAACTTTTCTTGCATCCACTGTTATATCTTACGCCAACGGATATATATATATTCCAAATAATAGAATACGCACACTCAGCTAACAGCCAACATAGTACGCAAAAGCCACTGACTGCAACCGCGGGGCGAATATAGAGAAGACCGAAGCTGGTAGATGAGAGACTATAATCATAAATCAATCCGAAACACGTGAATAAGTGTATGCACATGAAATATGACATCCGCAATTAAAAGATATTCGCATAGTAAGAGTAAAAGTTAACCAATCAGTGAATTACAACATTACAATGGGGGCAGAAATTAAACTACTAGTCCTACTGTAAAGTGATGTGAGAATGTTAAGTTAAAAATATTCAGATCAATAACAATAGTGAACATAACATCAACAAAAATAATCAAACCGCCTGTGGTCAGGTTTTTTTGTACTTTTCCAATGGAAGTGATTGCGTCATGCTATCTTTCAGCTTGTTACAATATTCGAAGAAAACAAGGATCAGTTTGGAGGTTTCCTGAAGTTTAAAGGAAAATCCAGGGACCTGTGGGGTCAACCAAGATGGGTGTGAGGATGAATACTCGCCGATGGTATTGGTTGGTTGTTGTACTATATCACGAATTGACAGAAGTGGGAAAATTTAGACAATTGGATTTTACCTATGTGGTTGAATGGTAATGTACGCATCGCAAGATCTGAATGTGTTGTTTTCAGTCCCTGGTGAGGCAATGGGTTGGCACTTCTGATGAGTCCCATACTAGGACGAAACAACTGTCCACCGATCCCAGTTTTTCAGTGGTTTCCCAGCTGTAGTTGTGGTCCGCGATGGATACCATCTCAAGACTAATAATTACGGAGGATTTTGCCAGGTTATCCAATGAACGAGTGATCCACAACTGTCCGTCTCTCGTCACGATAATATTTCAACCAAATATTTTTAATTCAATCTGAATGAAGGTGAATTAAAAAGTTGACATGACTAATCAGTTGTTGACTTGAGATGACCTTGAAAGACGTGAGATTAAGATATGAACAGTTGATAGGTCTCGCATTGAGAGCATTGAATCAAAATTCTACGGCATGCTACTTCAGACTCTGCTACGACCCTTGGTTTTCATTTCTGCCTCAATCATAATTCCTGTACATTAGAATCATTCTGCTGACCGTGACTATCACAGGCAATTGAATCAACAAACTAATGATTGTTAGTTGGATTATTTCAGATGAATTTGGATTGCCACGTTGTAACAATCACTGAATTAGAAAGACAGATATGGATAGCAGCAGTACTCAAACCAGTGACTTCTGGATGGCTAACCCAGTGATTTGAGCAACTTTGAGCAGGTAAATTGGGAACAGCTGATTACAAACTCTTTACGATTCTAGCGTCCTCTCTGCTTCAGCCTTATTTTCTATGGAAATAATATTTTTGAATTCAGCAGTAGGGTCATTATTATTACTATCGTACACTGACCTCAAGAGGGATAAGTGCTTTCGTTTTTACACCCTTTTCATTTCCTTATTCACAGTCGACTTTATCGGTGAACACCGTAAATCTCAAGCGAAAACTATGGAAGAACGTAATTTAATCACTCAAGAACACCAACGTCTGCGTACAGAGCAAATGAACTGGGAAGAAAAGCAAAGAGCGGAGGAATTAGCAATAAAAAAGTAATTAATACATTCATTCTACTCGTATTTGTATCCTCATATAATCTTGAATATATTTCTTAGTGATTAGCTGATATAAAGAGGTTAACAGTCAGTAGCCGATATCATACAATAGCGTCCAATACTAGTGGAAGTTTATCTAATCAGGTATCAAACATCAGCGGACGAAATGAGATGCCCACTCTGTACAACTAGGCCTGTGGGTTTTCAGGTGGTAATCAGACGTGAAATATGTAGTTAGTTTTTATTCCGTCACTTACTCACGGTTCACTTGAGACAGAAATTTCGTTTTAACCACCTCAAGGTAGGTGATTATATTGGTTTTAAGTTCATCAGCACAAAGAGGCTCTAAGCTCACTGAAATAATACAAGCATAAATGACAAGTTTTGATGAATAATGATAACTTCATATCTACGTCTTTTCTTTGCTTCAATGAGATTGAAATTATCCCCTGTATTTCCTCGGTTACTTTCTTGGCTTGTGTAAATCCGCAACTGCACGGTGAACACCCGGTGTACAGCAATCACACCTTTTTTAAATGACTATGAACTACATAGAGTGAGAAGTCGAATGGTAAAATTTCTCTTGGAGCCATAGGTAAAGGTATTGTTGAGTTCTACAATGTGCCCCAACTGGATAGCAGCTACCTCGACTTGGCGATTTGGCTTGCGTATCACAATGACCCAACGAGCTGCACCTACGGGAACACTTGTTCACTAGGATCCCACCATATAAGTTGTGTTGGATAATGCTAAGACAAAAAATAGTCACTACCATAGTTTAAACTGCAAAACTATGATGAAGGTTACAGGGTGAAGTCTTATTGCTGAGTGGATGGGACTGTGACACCCGTAAAGTGTTTCCCGTAGGGGATCAACAGTTTCATGTTCATACTACCTTCTTTATAGGAAGAAGGGGTTAAAAACGGTCCGCTGCTAAAAGAGCACACTCTCCCATCCCCTGCAATATTCCGGTGCCGTTAGTATAGGTTTTTCTTTTCCGGTGTTAGCTCAATGATATTCTGAAGAAGCTCTACCTGGCAGGCTTCAAATCAATTTTCCGTTGACCGTATGGTCACGTAAAAATATCTCTTCTTTACTTTCAAATACCTGTTAGAAGTAGCTTCTCCTATGTTGGTAGCCGGGTAGTACCAACTGCCTACACACTTCCAGGAGTATACAAAAACAAATCAACCATAACTTACCCTTCTTTATCAGCGTAAAAATGTACCAAGCCTATTTTCATATTTTCGTATCAAGTGGCAGCCAATTTACGATTCCGAACGTTCAGGGCATAGAGGTGCGAAATGATGTCTTCCATTGATTAGTGAAATTTCATTATTCTGTAAGCAGTATAGTAAATATTATTGCTACAGCAGATAACATGTGCACTTGACATTAGATATAGATTGTATTTGTGTAATTAACAACGGGTTTGCACTTGATTAATTTGTGCATCACATACAATGTCATTTTTAATTTGTCTTGTGTATCTGTTCTTGCCGTTGATGTATCCAGTACTTACATTCGAAATAAGATAACACAAGGGTGATAGTAACTATAGTAGTCAGTCTGCAGTCTATAAAAAGATGAAATTTTTGAAAGCAGCATAAACAGCCAGACAAAAAAATACAGGTGTTCTATATTATGTTTATTTTAGTGAAGTAAATGTGGATTACAGCCTTTATCTTTCTTCTATCCCACATCAGATTCACAGTTAAGCCGTCTAATGTATGTATGGTGCATGATTTAGCGTGTATATGTGTGTGTGAGCGAGAGAGATAGAGAGAGACTGTTCTGATTGTGGTCGCTAACAGAATGTCGTGTGACTGTTCCCCGTTTCTCGATGTATGTTGCCTATATTTCCTAATTTGTTTCTATCATGGTATATTGTCTCTTAAGTTCATAACTGTATCACTGGTAATTTGAGTTATATGTAGACTATGTTTTGGTTTAATTGATGATGGCTACCACTGGAATTCAGAATGCTCATTTTGTCCATTTCAGAACTCATCTAGACATACCTGCATCCTAGTGAGTGATGGGTGCAGAGTTCTTCTCAGTAGGAACACCACCACTCGCTGGGATACAGGTACATCCAGCTAACAAGTCTTATATTTTATACATGGTTAAAGTGGTTGAAGCTGGGAGAAGACTGGGGTTAATCAGGATCCAAATCAGTGGTTGTAACTCCACCGGAGGAGTCTTGCCTATTTAGTGTGTTAATGTTTGTTGTAACTCGTACTAGCTACCCAGTTTGATGTCTTTGTCGACCTAAATAAAAAAGATATGGAACAGCTGATCCAATGTTGTGTGGATGGTCTTTACTGATACACTGACGCTTGGTGTAGTTAATTCGTGTCACTACTTGTAATTCTACTTCAGCTCAAGCTCTATTTTGGCTTCAATCATTATCCCCCTTTCTTAAAAATAAATTTCTCAATCTCTCTCCCTCTTTCTCTTTATATCGGGAGATCGATAACACTCCTTGTATAAGCACTTAGTAACACTCCAGGAAAAGGAGGGCTCAGCAGCATACATCTCTAAGACTTTTTTAAAGGTTGAATTCAAAAAGTTAGTGTATTCGTAGTGGTCACCATGTTAACCTTCAAACTGTTCTTGATATTGCATAGGTGACATTACCATTTTAAAACAGTTACCGAATTTCAATGTTTCTGGAGCTTCTTTTCACTGCTTTGAATTAGTGACTATGACCAGGTCTGTCTGAATGATGTCATTTTGAATCAAAGCTAATGTGTGACGGAGTTGTTTATGCACTCTACGTAATGCTCTTAATATAAGAGTTCTATTCTCTAGTCACCTACCAAGGCTCAGATAACCGGATCATATCAACAAGTGTGACTTGTAATCGAATCAGTCGAAGTGTACATGTGGTTAGTAGGTTGTGAAATTTTACTTTGCTTGATTTCCATTAAGAAGAAAATCTACGTGGTTGTTTAGCCTACAAAAAAATTTGTTTAATAATTTTAACCGTAATTAGATCAGATATTTAAATACTGCGTAATACAATGATACGAGAGCAGTTATATCTTTCTGCATCTGTTAGGAAGTTCACTCAAATTGGTCACTATTGTGTAAGCGACCTAGCTATCTAGTCGTTACTGTTAAGTATCCATCAAAGTTCATCAAGTAGGTTTTGCAGTGTGGCCACTAAGCTAAGTGATACGATACTTCGGTTTACTTTATTTTAAGTGTTAACTGATGAAAAGAGGGCATACCCCACATAGGCTTCCTGTTCGTTGTCGCTAATGGACAGGGTATATCTACAACCACAAGGGAACTGGTAACTAATGACTCGGATATGCATCACTCAATGCTGATTTCAGGGCTATTGAGTCCATAATTGGTCCTCCGTAGGACTGGAGTAGGTGCATGCAGTGCTCACCAGTGAGTAACAGATATGGTTGGCTCCTCCATGATCCTGAGTATTGATCAAAGTGTACTGATCAAGTTTTGGCATTTACCGTACATTCAGAATTTTCGGTTGGGGACGTTCGGTGTTAATGCTTATCATGGAATGGAGTAGCTAAAATACATTTACAACATAAATTCTTGTGAGTTTTGAAGGTGTAGTTGTTTTTTAGATTTTATTTCTTTTTTTTCATACCTTATAGTATTTTCTATGACCGGTGATTAAACTATTTAACTTTTTCGCTTTTTTACTTCTCTATTTTCATCTTTTTGGGCTAATGTACATTGTAGTAATTTGAACCGATTTTTCAGTAGACTAGTTACCCTACCGTTCGGCTTCAAAGTTACACAGATAATTTGTAGCTCAGGTGGACACTTTGATTATTTTTAAATTGCTTTGGTTGGAAGGTTTAATGCTTGGGCTTTTATCGTCTTTTTAGACAACGTTATCAGTGTCACTACCGTAAGTGAAATCATCTCTAATTCAATAGTGGTCCTAAAAGCCGCCATCTAATACTTAAAAGTAGTTCTTGTCATCCTGAATTAACATTATTTACACATCCGTTGAAAACTAGTAGACACTGGACAAGTGTTTAACCTCATTACTCTTCAGTAGTGTGCACTCATATCACCTAAGAGCATCTAGTCTCAAGTTTAGAACTTTTATCAATTCATAAACACTTGTCTTCAATTTAGACAATTTCCTTAAAATCATTCATTCGAAAACAAAAATATTGTCTACAGTTGATGATTTGGTCGTAGGTTTATGAAAACCAATAAAATAATTGTGCCAAATATTTATCAATTATTTTTCTTGCTAAAATTTATTTGTTTTTAGATTTAAACTGCATTTTACTCTCTTCCTTGTCTGTATCCACAAATTATGTATGTAGATTAAGGAAGATATTGATGCAACGAAAGATGCACTGATATCGGAACGTCAGTCTTTGAATGAAAGAATCAATAAGATTAGAATAGATGAAGTGAAATTAGAAGAAACCAGACGACAGTTAGATATTGTCAGGTAATTCAACTTATATTTCTCTATACATGGCTTTACCGTTTGCAATAGGTTTAGCTTTTTCCCTCTGTTATATTTAATTCAAGTGATGCTGTCAATGGGACCTAATTGCTAACTTGATAATCTGGTAGACAGACAAGTCAACTAAACAACGAGGCATAAAATCGAATTGTCGGTCGAATTAATCCCAGAGTGCGCAAGCAGTGTCACAGTGATGAAGTTTCTAGCATGAGTTTGAAAGGTGAACACAGCTGCGCGCATTAATTGTTCTTAAATGATCGCATATCAGTAGCCTTGAGTGCATGTGTTCTGAGGCCTACAACAGCTCATTAAATTGTCACAATCTCGTTTATCTGTCAAGTACTTCAATGAAATGTCATTTACCATGGTGTTAGGGTCACTGCATAAATCCAGTACCACAGAAACCAGTTATACTGTAGTAGCAGGTATGCATTAATGATTACTGTCTGCAGACATCCAGTCAAAGAGATTTATTTTACAAGATGAAAACCATAGTTTCAGCTAGTTTTTCCTTTTTATGAAACACTGAACCAATGGAAAGCACCAAAAATCAAACAAATTCACCTCAAAATGAAGAAGTCATGCGCAAACTTTATGGTTTTTTGATAGTGCAAAGTCCTCTGAACTTCTTTAGTAAAAACTTGATGTAATTTTTTTCACCTGTCAAGTTCAAGCTGTTACTCGGGAATTGATCTGCATTAATGCGTAACTCAATTTTAGTGTTTGACGTATTTTCTGAAACAGTTGTCTCAGTTTTAATTAATTCTCGGACTAGTTTGTGCCAACATTTAGTTTTTTTCAAGAACAGTTAGTAGTGTAGTTGTGCATGCTGACGACTTCACTTATTTGGAAAGTTGCATCGTCATTGATGGATTGGTCATTGCGCCTCATTGATTCAGGAAGTCGACTTCCAACCCCTGAATCATGACTTTAAACTCAGCTCCACCAACAGAGGTTGGGTCAGTCAGGTAGGATTATAAGCCCTCGCACAATAGTTGTGTCTCATTGCCTACTGTATAAACGTTCATAAAATTGCTGAGTTGATTTTGATCTCGATACAAATGTAATATTCCTGTTTCATATTTATTCTTACATTTTTGGCGCTGGCAAGTTTCTAAACATAAAAAAATATGTCGACTTTTTCATCCTCTACATTTGTGAGGCGTAGTTGTTAATGGTTAATGACATGAATACATCTGCATCGTTTGTGTAATCTGGAACGGCAGAGTGAGCATCCTTCTTGCCTAGTTTTTTTCTAGTGATATTGATCTCGATTCAGACTACGGAAAAATAAATGGGAGCCGGTACTCAATATCCTTTCTGGTGCAGCCAGAGCATGGGCTTTGTAACAAACGACAGGATGTACAAAGCAACAGTTTACCATCAGCTCTCTGATACTGTTTTTAATGTTAACTGGAAATTTAAGTAGCCAGATAAGCCAATCAGCAGGCTTATGAATGTGTTTTAAGTGACATGTTTGGACTATACTTTACACCTACGTGACATTGAAGTACAATCAAATAATAGCTCTGGCGATCAAGAAATCAACACACTATACTATTCTTCGATGTGAAGGGGAAATGCCATCATTTACAAACGGAGTCTGCGAGATAGTTGATACAAAGATTAATTAATGTGATTTAGAATACATCATAGTGGTTTGGACGATCTGTTCCTTTATTCGCGACCATTGGTCCTTATTTTTCAAGTTATATTATTGTTTTTCTGTTGATACTGTCGAGTCGAACACATGACTTCTAGTCCTAAAGTGAGCTTAACCTCACTTTCAACTTCAAATGCTATTCCTGTAATAACACATTATGGTGATGTGATTCATCAGCGTAACCATTCGACGTTCAAAAGATGGGTTGTGAGCTCGAACCCTGCCGGATCTACTTCAGTCTATCAAATCCCAAGTAACATACCATTATCGTTAGCACAATAAGTAGAGTTCACAGTCTAGTTCATAAATTTGTACAGAGTTTAGTCGCACTCTAATATTACCTTACGTGTGTTGTTTATACTACTACTAATAATTATTTCCAGATGCGATCTTGTTCGTGAACAAGAGTTATTAACGCGCCGTGAAGAATACTTGGATCAACGACAGGACGAGATGAATAAACGTGCCGATGTTTTAAGTCAAGCTGAAAAATTCTTAAAAGAATCTGAATCACGACATCGTCGCCTGCAAGATGAACAAAGTAGGCAGTTCGCTGAATTACAGGAAAGAAGTCATAAACTGCATGAAGCTGAACAACATCTTGTTATAGTATGTTCCCTTTATTAACATTATTATTATTTGCTTTCTGAAGAAAAGAATGGTCATGAGACACAGCATTAAAATGAAATAGTACGCTTAGATTCTAAAAACACTTTCAGCTCCAATTAGACATAAGGAAATGTTTACTGACCGTATAAGTTGATTAACACCAAGGTTTGATGCTCAATTGGACTCCATTATACCAGAAACAATAAGATGATACTTAAACTAAGCCATGACCTGTGTAGTTCACCGACTGCCTATTTGAACCATGTACAGCAGAATATGGAACCCTACGATATCACAAATCAGTGTTTGGAAGTATATATATATATATATATATATATATATATATATATATACTTGGTACACTTGAATACCAAGACACTTGCTTTATAAAAGGATACCACTGTGAATATTGGAACAAAAACTAGAGGCAAGAGTAGCAATTATCGTGGGAAACAGAAACGCACTCTTAAACTCCTTGGTAAGAACGCCGTGATTGATTTCCAACTTTTCTCCCATCCATTATTCACCATTTGTTTTTTGGTGAGATGAGTAATGTCGCTGTCTTCGCGTACTCATTCCATTAGATTGTAAAGAATGTTACTCTTATAGGATAGTGAATCCCTAAGTCCCTATCCCTAAACTGATCAGGAAAATCAGTAACGTACTACTCATAAAGATTATAAATACCTACGGAAATATTGGACAATAATTCGGGACAATAATAATAAAATAAATCCTTCTTAAGTTTAATACAGTGTAAACCTTGAATACACAAGCCTCTGGAGATAAAACACAAAATGTATTTCAGAGACAGGTGAACATTGAGAAGTTAGTTGTTTTGTGTACATGCGTGTTGTCGTGAATGTCTAGTCAAGTTCAACTTCCCAACACAGAATTCTGTTACTTTATGGCATACAAGTGGAGCAGTTATAGATGACTAACTAGTAACAACTCACAATTGTGATTAACGTCGCATGTAACCCAACCTCATTGTAGGTTTATGCACGTGGCCGTGAGATACATTCGATGTGTGACAGTTTATCGAGCTACCTGGTTGTCCAAGCTGCAGTAGGTGCAGCCAGACGAAAACCATGAACCTATTACTTGAAATGTGCTACTGGATAACAAGAGTACTTAGAAACCACTCACATTGATCTGTATGTAGATTTAGCTAGCCAGATCAGAGTGATCCAAACACCGGACGGCCGTCCCACTGGGTCGGGGTCGAGCCCATCAGTGATGTACCCAGAAAAATTCAACTCACAGAGTAGAATTATTCAGACAAAATGAATGTGACTAGCTGACTTCGATGGAGCGGTATGCCTAAAATAGGATGGTTAATTTGCGAATGATTTACACGGTGCACGCATCATCTTGACGTTTCTCAGAGCCGATTAGTTTTTCAATTGCCCGATTGTGGTTCCAACAGGGTTTCCGTTGTAAACTGATGATGAGTTTTGCCTCAAACGAGTGAGGCATCTATCTGGTACTTAGATCACTCTGATTTGCGTAGCTAAATCTGTAGATCAGTGTGACCTGTTTCTAAATACTCAAGTTGTACAGTAGTATATTTCAGTGAATCGCAAAGTATTAGAATTGTGGGAAAATAACACTTTAAATTTAGTGAATTATCCATTTGGCCAGCAACCAACGCAGTGTTACCGTTTACATTGTTTGAACTTAATGTCAACAGCAAATGGAGGATTTTCAAATAAAAGGATAACCAAGATAAGATTTGCTCTATTTTGCTTCATTTCTTGGAGTCGATATCAACACTTATGTAGGAGACAATAGAAAAATAATACGTGATCGCAAGTGATTTTGATTTAAACCCTTAGCTAGCACTCATGGCTTCTGAACAGTTGTTTAAGGTATTTCATTAAAGAGTAGACTTGAAGAAAACGATTATTCAGCCTCTCATGATGACGAAGATCCGCCGAATTTTCCAGCGGTGCAGATCCAATACTAAATTCGCGGTATAAATCACACCACAACTAAAAGAAGATCGAGACATTATTGAATTCCTAATTACACTTGGTCAATGTAACGAAGAGGCCTGATCTACCAGGTAATTTGTTTCTTCTCGTATTCCTTCCACTGTATATTTCTCCAGTGTCCATACTAAAGCACCAAGCAGAACAGTAAGTTATCTTAGACATGAAATACAACACGTAAGACAGTGGGGCAACGCTACGAGTTGCATTTCTGGTTAAAGTACAGCTAGGTGTCAGAAATTCATATACCTTTCTTTTATTTGGGCGTATGAAGCTTATGTGTATCTTTGGTTTAGAATCAGGTTCAGCTAATCATCTTTGTTGAGGTCTTTGTATGTTGTCACCCTTTCATTTTTGTAAAAAATCTCAACTCTACTATGATAATGATTCTTATGGTTGACACCGTTCCGATCAAGACTGATTATCATGCTAAGTAACTCTTCTGATAAATATTTCGTTCCCCTGACAAATTTGTACAAAGCAAGAACAAACGGATTCATACAATACCGTAATGTCATTTCAGCTATATACAACCTGAACCTATTGTATAATTATTGGAATTTTCATACACATAACATACTTTAATTGTGTTAGAAGATAGAAAAGTGATTCCTAAATCCAAAGATAATCATGAGGGAGTGGTTAGCAGAGATAAGAGAAAACTGGAATCACATATTCTAGTCGAAATAAATGATGAATTTATGATTAAATCGATGATTCTAGATCTGTACGGATAAAAAGCATAGGGTCAAGCAAACATTGATTTGAAGGTTAGGAGTTGCTAACCATGGAGGAATTGCTTAAGCACATGAATAATTCGAAAACCTCAAAACAAGTGTGATCAAGTCCTCAGTAGATAGAGAAGAGGTTATGATGTAACCAAAATAGTGTTGGATTTCCAGGATAGACAAAGATTATTCACCGTATCTTTTTGTGTACAAAGGTCAGGTTTGTAATGTCTCATTGGAATGTCTTCAGTATAGTGTGGTAGATTTGATCTTTTTTTTATGCTGATTATTTTGAAGACTTCAAAAATATTGATCCTCTGTTCGGTTTCCATCAATGTCTGGTAGTCATATCTGTAGAAACTTTGATCCTTCTCAAATAAATTTGTTCTGTGTTGTAATTTTAGGTTGTATGCAGCTGATGAAATAACGTTTTATTCTGAAAATCCGTTAATTCTTTTTCTATGTGTACTCTTCTTTCCATGTTTGTCATCGGGTTACCTTTTAAATTTTGTCACCGTTTTCTTACAATTAGACATTCTTTTTTTCTGTTTTAATCCCCAAAAATCTTCCTCCTTATAATTTACTTCAACAGTGAAAATTATCCCGTTTTATAGTCACAAATTATTATACCTATATTACATCTGCATACATCCAAAAGTAACGGTTTACTCTCCACGACACTGCGATGTACAACTGTAAAGGCTTGAGAATGTATCTTTTTTAAAACTAATAATAATTTGAATTTAGGAGTTTGTGGGGATTTTGTGATGTTTCAAGTTGGTATTCATCATGGACTGACATCAGTTGGAGGAACATTGGAAACCTGAGATCACTGGTTGACTGTTTCATCCTAGTGTAAGACTCCTCAACATTGCGTACCCATGACTGCACCGGGGATCGGACGCAATTGACCTAGTGCTCAATGGTGATCAGCTTCGAGAGGTGATTCCTGAAGTTCCAATAAGAAGTCGTAACCGGTGGAGCAAACCTGGTGGCTGTGAGGACAAATACTCAAAGCAGACATTGGTTGATGGTGTCGCTATGTTGTGAACCGACGGAAGTTGGGAATATAGACCAACCGACCAGGTGGCTTGATGGTAATGTTCCAGCCACGGAACCTGAAGGTAGCGGGTTCGACCCCTGATGGGGTGGAGTTATGCGTGCGTATACTGGGATGAAACAGCTGTCTAGTGCTCCCAGGTTTCCGATGTTCCTCCAGTTGATTTCAGTTCATGATGAATACCAACTTGAATAATAATAATTTACTCATCGTGATCAATTTTAACATTAGGCTACATTTATCATTAACGGGAAGTATTCGTAGCCAAAATTTTCACTTTCCTAGTTAATATTAGCATACAAATCGAATGCCATACCTTGTATTGAATCGATGAATTTTCGGTAAATCGAATAGTAATGAACAGAGAATAGTTGTGATAGTGAGAATGACAGAAATGAAGTTGGGCATTTTAATCGACTTGATGGGTGATAGTTAGGTAGATAGACATAAACCTAGGCAAGGTAAGATGTGACACAATTGCGTATAATCAGTGGATCGAAGGGGATAGTAGAAAAGGAAAACAACTAGCTGAAAACCTTGTAAGCAGTTATAAGGACCAGTACAATAAAAAGTAAGTGGGGATAAAGGAAATATGATAATAATGATGATGATGGTGATAAAACGTTAATGGTTTAGCTAAAGAATTGGTTTGTTTGCATTTGATCCTATGGGATTGGTTTTAAGCCCTACTACCTAAATTCTACAACAATCTTTTTCGATTTTGTATGAATTTCACCCAAAAGGTCCGTATATCTCTACTCAACGTAGACCGATTATCAGAGACATTATCTTTCATCTAAAAGTACACACTTATTGTACATTTAATATTTGCTGTTTAACCAAATAAAAACTGAGTGGAACAGAATTCCACTTTAAATTTTGAGTGAATATGTGTCAACGATGATAGTTATTATGACCAACGAAACATTTGTTTTAAAGAAACAACTTAAAAGGCGAAATCATTAAAGGTATTTGTCGACAAAGTGTGTCATTGTCACTGTTTCACATCTTCGGTAGATGGATTTTATGAAAAGAATATTGATTTGCTGAATTCATATGATATGTTTCCATCGAGTTCTTTCTCTTACGCTGACAGAGCTGTAGAACCGATCCTCTTATTCATGAAGCATTCTTCATCACTTCTTCTACGTTTTAGAATTTTTTTAAATAACTACGGTTAATTCAGACTAAGACACTAGTTGTCAAAGAGTAGAAACC